ATCTATTACCAGGTCGACGGCTTTCGATCACGCCAATGAGGTATGCATTGCTCTATCCTCGTGATTTAGTGCACTTATAATCGATATGGAAAATTGGAGACAGCATCAACCACGTCTGGTGAATAGCTTACCACTTCCCCGCGCCTTCTGATGGCTCCAAAATAGCCAATGAGGCATTAGATTCAAAGAATCTCAGCTTCATATGCTAATATCAACCTCTTCCAGTGACTTCCATGCACTTGGAAAATGAACGACGAATCACATTAGAAGAAAGTGGCATCTAAGCAAGGGACAGACCCGACGCAACGTTGACGATTAAGTTGCTCTTAATCAAGAATTTCAAGACACTGAAGAGAAGAAGCTAGAAAGTAACAACAATGAACGTAGACATACCTGTTCCAGTGAGTCATCCCTCGGTATAGCCTCCTCCTGATTAACTTTTGCAGAAGAAGTATCATTATCATCGTTTTCAAGCGGAGGTGGCTTCACGAAATAGGGAAGTTTCCCTCGCTGAAAGTCGTTGAGCACGCGTTTTGCTGTTGTAATTATGTCCGGTTCGCCACCCTATCGTCAGAATTTAACCGTCATCAAATTTCATTTCCAACCGTAGGCTTACAATCCAGAGGTGAAGATGTTAGAAATGATGCCGTATCTCAATTTTCGAAAAGATTGGTTTTCGTCAAGCATGTCCTAACGAACTTTTGCTATGGAGGCGTCAAAGAAAACAGCCAAAGTCCGTTGAGAAGTTTATCTTATGCGCCTATTAAAATTATGATAGAAATTATCAAGAGAACCAAATGATGAAAGATTATGCCATGGGAATTTCCAAAAAAAAAGGGAAAAAATTTGAAAGTTCAATGGTGACGAGCAGATCCAGATGCTAGATTGCCTCAAATAAATATGATGCAAATTTTCAGGACCAGAAGTGAATGAATTTTTGCGTAGTAACCAAAAAACCTGAAAGCATTGAAACTAGCTCCGCTCCTTTCCAAAGCAAAACCAAATACCAGCACAAATTGCATTGAAAAAGACTTTTACGACCTAGAAACGGGCCTAAAACATCATCAAAATTGAGAAAAAAGAGGACTGATAACATCAGCAGATCTTTCGAAGCAAATAAATATCGAATTAGCACACCTTGAGAAGTTTTCCCGTCTTTTTGGCGACGAGTTCAAGGAATAAATCAGCGTCAACTGGCCACTTTGCAACAGATGTGTATTCAATAGACGAGGTATCAGCCAGCTCTGCCTTATTTTGCTGGCCCATCGACTCGACGGAGAGGGGGTGGCAGGTGGGATCAAACATCGGAAGTCCGTACCGCTGCTGCACATAATCCGGTTTCACCCTTTCCAACACCTCAGGGATGTACATCTCCGGCTGCTGCAAATACTCCACTCGCACCTGCACACAAAAACAGCCTGTTTCAACAGAAGCTCATGACCAAAGATGGTAGACCTATTCCTATTACTGGGAACACCAACGTTCGCGGTCGAATCAAAAGCAGAAAACGTTATAAAAGATAAGCAACTTTCAAGCTAAGTAATTGGTGACAAGCTGCAATGCCAGTTTGACATTGAAACTCCTAAACTCAGCCCTTGAACTCCTGCTGTTTTGAAGATAAGGCATGATACCGGTGGAAGAATCGTTAGCAATACACAGGTAAAATTCAAGGAATCTTTCATTGCACCACCTGAGGAAATCAGAATCAAGTAGTTGACGTGCTCGTAGGAAACGTCATCATCAATCGCTACCTTAAATACGGAGGAGTTATTGCAATAATGCAAAATGTAGCGCCAGAGCCGGAATTACTTCATAATTAGTCGGGTAATGTTAACATCTACTGCAGAGCCAGTCTTCAGACCCCACGCTCATAGCTAAGGCAACAGCACTTTATGCTTTTGTGCAAGTACCGCAGGAACACAACTTTTTACTCCTCTCCCCGTAATTTTTCTCAATCAAACGCGATTGCTGTTTTGCTCTCCTAGGTCTAAGCTTCATGAGGCAATAGTAAGGTAGTTGTTAAAACTCCCTTTTAATTGGCTATTGGGCTTTTATTCAACCATTATAAGACATGATGAAGACAACTACTAGCCATCAGATTGTAACGAAATTAAGGGAAGTGTCAAACAAACGATTTCCTTCATAAAACCCGTTTATTTTATGAAAACTACCTTTAATTTCCGATTTGTTCTAATTGTCTTTGTCAGAAAATTAACCACATCAATGATAATTGGTAAATCGAAATGTGTCGACGATCAACAATGTTAACAACTTCTGCTTAACACAATGCATTTAAAAAACCAGAGACATGCAAGCATAAAAGTTCCCAAAATCCTTAGTCATGAGAGCCTCAGCACTACGGCTAAAGGAGTACTCCAACTAGACATGTTGACACTGGAAAATAGGACAAAACTTACCACACCCTTCATGACCATCTCGGCTTCCGTATCTCCTTCAGGGTAAACAACGCCAGGACAATCAATGAGATAGATTGATTTGAGCAGGGTCACGTATTGCCACACCTTGGTCTCACCAGCCAAAGGCGCCACCTTGCATACCTTCTTTGAGCTGAAGCAATAGTTCATACTGGGCTAAGATAACTCACCGCATAGCATTTATAATACTCGATTTCCCAACATTCGGATAACCGATGACACCCACACTGATTTGGTGACGATCTTTAGCATGAAGACCAGCCAGTTGGCGTAAGAGACTCATCAGAGCAGTTTTACCCAGAGGCTTTGTCAGGTTGGCGTAAAACACGAGAGTTGGATACTCTGCAGAGAGTATGGTTTTCCAACGTTTCTAAATAGAGCGAAAGTAGAGCAAGAAACGAATTTACTTACCGTAATCCAAACAGGTACGAGATCTACCTTGTTAATCACGAAAATAAGGTGTTTATTGGGTTTCTCCTTCTTCATGTAT